TACCTTGGATCCATAAAAGCGCCTTCTTGATATCTTTGACAGCCGACATGGCAGTGTGCCACATCTTCATGATGTTGACGGTCGTCGTGGACAATGTTCCAACGCCCTCGATTTTTAGTGCGATATCCTTTTCAGCTAGACTTTTAGTTTTTCCTTGGAGCGAGGCGACCTTTTGAGAGCAGCGCCTAATAATATCCCTTGGTAGGATCTTGCTAAATTTATCAGGGAACAATAGCGAGCTGGTCGGCACCTTGTTTAGACGGACTGCAGTAATTCTTGGGGTTTTCTCGAAATAAAAACTTTTGAAGCTTTTTAAAAATTGTCTTGATTCGTATGTTGGAGGTCTTGAAAAAATCATATCAAGTGACTTTACTCTCAGCGGATCGCGATTATCAGTTTCGTGGACCTCCTCTACCAAGTAGCCGTCATCCATGCCAGCCGCATCTAAATTAACCTCGACACCTGGTTGAGTCACTGCTCCTACTGGCTCGCCACCGAGCCGTTCACACTAAGCATTCGGCATCACCGCCTCCTGTTCTTTGCGGATAATCGCACCTTCATGTTCCACCGACCCTACGCTCTGCCTCTGGAGAGAAGTCTGCGGCTCTGCACCATTAACATTACCAGTAGTCGCCGTAACGCTGTGACACCCCTCTTCCTCTTCAGCAGCACACTGGGCAGATCTCTCACCGTGGCCCTCGGCATCTCCCTCAGCGCGACTACTGTTTTCAATCGCCATCTGCGACTGCGTGAAGATTGGTCGATAATGGTCAATAAAGCGCCATACCCAATTTTGCTTCGTGTGGTCGTTTTGTACAGCAAATTCTGGTATTTGCTCACAATATCTCTGTAATTCAGCCACTGAGATTTTACTACCGCCTTCAACGCAGTTCCGGTAAAACTGTAAACCTCGATCTTCGTATGGTTTTTCTTGGCGGTCGGCCGTAAATGTTTAGCCGGTTAAATTATGGACCGGTCCGTGTTTTTTTATCTGCCTACCTCCACTGATTTGGAATTGTGCGGCATGGAAAAGAAGCGCCGCTGCGTACAGTATACGGAGGCCGACAAGACCAAGGCGCTAAAGATCTGGGTGGAAAACAGAGAATGGAGTACATCCCAAGCAGCGTCTGAGTTAGGAGTAAAGAAATCCACACTTCTCGGCTGGTGCAAAGCTTTATCAGACTCAAAACTCTCCTTTGTGAAAGAGCCGAGTTTGGACCCCAGGCGATACAGGAAGAGCGGTGCTGGGGTTGGTAAAAAAGATTACTCGACTGGTCCAGTTAAGTTGCATCTGTGTTCAAATTAACTCGACCACATGCGTGATAGCTCGACCCGACTGGTCGAGTTAAGTTGCATCTGTGTGCAGGTTAAGTCGGCCGAATGCAGATTAGTTCGATTTATTCCAGGCCGGTATGACATCATTTAAAAACCTCTGCTGACATATATCAAACCGACATGGTAAGGCTCACGATATATCGAGGAAGAGACAGTAGGTGATAGCACTTAAATAGCTGCGGTAGCCCAGTGGTGTCCCTTAAAAGTAGCCTTAACATTTTGACGGTACGCAATTCTCTTAAATCGCGACGGTGGATGTCGGTATAGCAATTATTAATTTGACTTAGGGCTGCCTATTAGCTTTGGTACGGTTCATGGGATTAGTTGGAAGAAGCAGCGGAAGATATAAGCTTGCTCTCGCTTTGGATGCCTACCGGTTTGGTCGAGTTGGACCAAACCTAATTTATCGTGATTAAATTAAAAAACAGTCGCTATACGCCTTAATCATAAAAGGTGGGGAAAACAACAGCGAGCCGGTCTAATCGACAAGCCACTATCGCTCTCAAGCAAATGTTGTAACGCAGGTCATCGTAGGTGCTGGATACTAGATGTCGGTTAGCCATCATACCCATATATGACTGTATTATCGCGAGCAAGAAGAACCAGCTCTGTCGAGACCCCATCTAGTGACCAGAGTGAACTTTGCTCCATCGATAAAGTTATTATTCTTAAGCTGGGCAGTCAAAGGCCTGTCCTGGTCATAAGTCTCAATGTTAAAGATTTTCATCCTACCTTACTACAATACCTTAGTTGAGCAAAGTCTCCATTTCTAAAGCCCTCGTCATTCGTGGCGGTCGGCTATTTAAACGCGGGGAAGGAAGCCCAAACATAATCGAAGGCGCGCGAGTTGCCTCTGTTTCTATTCCTCTGTGCAGGCTAAAATTGTTTGGCCCTCCATTATGAGCAGTAGTTATTGGGCTGAGAGAATATGATACTTGTAAATGGTGCTCAGTATCAAAGTTTTGCCAATCCAACTTCTCGATAGTTTGGTTCATTGGAGCCATCGCAAACATTCCATTGGGTAGATCGAAGGAAGTGCTGCCTCTAACACAAAAGGTGCTAGAGTTTTGCAACCGTAGGAAATGGGGTGTGTTCATGATACAGGGGTCGAAAGCTGTCCACGCTACAGTCTCAATAGGCGGGATAAAATCAGAGTGTGGCTGACCGCTAAAAGTAGACAATTCAATCGTGCTCCCCGCTGCTGGTGTGGCCCAGTTGTGGTTGGAGGGGGTATAACCATCTTCAATACGGTTGGTCTCTCTCCAAACTCCGCTGTCACCAAAGGGTGCACCGTCCCGAAAGCCATGTGTGTTGTTCGTATCAGCTGGCACTGGCGTTTGCAACGTCATCTCACAGTTCGAAGGAGATTCACGATGGATTCGCTGTTTTTACGCGCTCGCCAACTCATAAGCTTATCACCTTACCCAGGCCCGATACCGAGAACTGATCTTGCTACGACCACATGCGAGCACACACCAAACTTTAAATGAATAGCACAGCCACATTTGTTGTTCTCAGCATCCACGAGCCATCCATCTTGTGGCATATTGACACGATGTGCACGGCGGGTAGACCATTTTACACTGTCACGATACAGTCGAGACGTCTTGCTTTTTTCCGCCTTTTCTAAAACCAAACCTAGTACAAATGGATCTTCTTCGTTTTCAACCACGTTGTTTGCAAGGCGTCGAATTGTTTCCATCGCAGTGGTGTCAACATGCACCTCCAGAATATGCATCACCTGGACTTTTGTCTCATCATTCGTACGAGCTTCAAGCACAGCCTTTGCTTTCAGCATCCATTTTGCCGCCTTCTTGATCTCGCCGTTTGGTGTCGCGATGGATGTTGTCGGTGACGGCACGTCGGGCCCCACATCCTCAGCCAACCTAATCATACTTCGCAAAAGTGCGCACACCTCACTCGTTTTTCGATGAACATGCCTCTTTACAGTTGCATTGAATACCTCACATGGATTGTTTGTTGTAGCGTAACTTGAAGGGGAATGAAAAATCCGCCAACTCCAATATCTGCCTTCCGTCCACTGCTCTTCAAAATATGTTGCAAATGCACTTAGACATGGCTCAGACCTCCAACTCGAAATTACTCTATCCTTCACTGCGCAATACTCAGTGTAACTTGTCGCGTAATGCATATCCATTATACCTGTGAAATCAGCGACCCTTGGCCCAGTTTCGAGATGCCTTGTTCTTTTGTGAACGTTGTAAAGTACGTGGAAAAAGCACATCAAATATTTGCTGTCACTGAATGCAGCTACGGCCCGAAGCGCATTAAATTGAGCGTCTTCCGCGTCGCCTAAGATGGCATCAACCCGAAGGGTGGTCTGAAATAATTTTATACACTCTGGCGACGCTGTCAAAGGCCATTTCGTACTCTCTATGGGTTCGAGCACTGACGATCACAATTGCGGCAAGGTGATAAACCCTTGACCGATCCGTGAATCCACACGAGACAAACGGATAACCTAGGTCGCTCTGTTTAAAGGTCGCGTCAGTGTGAAACAAGCGAAAATGTTCGCTTCCGTGAAGCTGCTTTACTTTTGTCAGCAAATTGGCTGTTGTTACACCCAAAACAAACGGGTCTTCTTCACTGCCCTTCCCGATCCGTGGATATCCATCAACACCATCCACAGGCCCCAATAGAAATGCCTTGTCACAGTCGATGCCTTCAAAATAAGGATACTCTTTTGTCAGTTTCTTCACGGCTTCCCGTGTATTCCGAGATAAGTTTTTCTTTCGGAGTCTCTTCACACAGTCTGACACCTGCTGCCGCGACAGTAACCCCAGTGGAGGTGGTGCAACATCAGCTGTACGACGAAGGTTACTCCAAATATCGCGTGGTCGTATTCCGCATGAATCCATTCTAGTAATAAATTCTTTCACTTCATCTGTTATCGGTATACGATGTTATATAGCGCATTGTTCCTCCCCCCTAAAGTGTTTTTTGTCGTTACAGTTGACACGCCACGCGGGTCTAGATGTACATTCCCAGTACTTTCACTGCACACCACACTGCATACCTCCCTTCATATCTTCCTTGCTTGCGCATGTCGAGCTGATACACTCCAGTCGTCTTTCAATCATAGCGTGGTCGGCGTTGCATATCTTACAGTCCATCTCACGCTTTACGTATGCACCGGAGCAGCAGAAATCTGAAGCTCGCAGCTTGACAAAGTCTGCGCTCGTTGCATGTTCCGCCAATAGTGCCCAGGAATGACGTGGCATCCTTCGGTTTTGCGCTCGGTGCTAGTAGGATAAGCACAGGTGCCAATGAGGTGAATGCACGGCGTGCCGGGGGTCAACTGGAGTAAAAACAGTTTATGGCGAACAACTGTAGAGCTGGCTGTAACACGACTGCGCCCGCTCCAACCAATCAAGCAAAGTTGCACACTGCTGATGCTGGTTTACTCGACCGGTCGAGTTATTGTGCATGTGGTTGAGTTAACCTGCAAGAAGCTGATGCTGGTTTACTCGACCGGTCGAGTTACTGTGCAAGTGGTCGAGTTAACCTGCAAGAAGCTGATGCTGGTTTACTCGACCGGTCGAGTTACTGTGCAAGTGGTCGAGTTAACCTGCAAGCAGCTGATGCTGGTTTACTCGACCGGTCGAATTATTAATATTGTGACTTGGAATTGGCATTTGAAAAAAATGGGCACGTTTTTGATGCTATTAAAAGTACGGTACATCGAAGGTGAGTCCGGCTTTGATGTGTACACATCTTTTTGCCCCCAACGTGAAGAGATTGAAGCAGTTTTGATTTTTACTGGCACCCCATCTTCTTTTGTTTTCACCCCAAAAGGTGTTTGTTCGCACCCCGGTCTCCACGGCTTCAGACCGGCTAATGAGGTTGTATCGGCTTATGCACACCCGCCATTGCCTTTCTGTACACAGGATTCCCCCTGTCGGATATGTTGAATCGGATTTGTACAGAGTGAAGCAGTCGGCCCTAAGGCTTTCCGCGACAGAGAAAAAGCTTGTGGCCAACTCGATTCGATCTGTAAATTCAAGGCGAATGCAGACACAGGGTATGCCAGTTGTAGGATGGGTAGTAGACACTAGAAGTAAATCGTGCTCATGCGCTTATAACCGCAAGCACGCGATGTGCTGCCATGTTGTCGCTGCCTGTGTCCTAGGTGGCGTTGCTTGCCCGGGTGTGAGTATGCGCACTCGTCAGTTTGTACGGCCAGCTCATGCTCATCACGTGGACCAGCTCTCCTCATCATCATCCAGAGAGCCATCTGATTCAGACTCTGTGCATACAAGGCAACTTAGTGAGGCTGAATCTGCCATAGTGAATGCAGCAAATCATCTGCAGGCACCCCGGTGCTATCAACTGCAAGTTCCTCCTCCACTGACACGGTCATTCTGGAATATGACGCTGCCAACGAGGTTACGGGACATTTAGAGGCTCGAACAATGCCATCTCTTAGAGTCATGTGCGAGGCTTCTAGGCGGCCAGATCAAGCGGCCATCGGAGCCTGTACAGCAGACGGACAACTTCCAGCAATGCATAATGTTTCTGGCAGCGCCCGTGGTATCGACAATGCCAATGAAGAAGATGATATTCCATATCGTCGACGTTCGACTCGCCCGCAGAAACCGACAAAGCGTGCTGCTGAGTCGCGTTTGCAAAGCAGGAAGCGGAGTAGATGCTGATATGACTTGTTGGTGCTTAAAAATTAAAGCCCGATCAGCCTGGACGCCATGAAGAATCGTGTGCACTTACATGGTGGGAAGTTTAAACTGAGTTTAGGTATATACGACAGCTGTGGAGCATGCACAAGGACAATGGGATATGTTGCTGCTGTGTGTCCAAGGCGGTGCTCGGGAGACGCTTTGATTGCGTCGGGTGCGCGTGAGTGTGGTGCGCAAGAAGACGATGCAGGTCTTCAACGAGCGTCTGGACGAAGCGCGCAACTCTTTCTCACGTCGCGCGAAGCGCGGCTGTCTATTGACATGCTGTACGAGCAGGATGCGGTGATCCCGAACGCCGAGGGCTCCGAGAACAGCGTCGATATCCAGACTACGCTGCTCAGCGTCACCATTCAGACCCGCAACCTCGCTACGAACCACTTCGTCGCCCGCACGCGGCCAAGTTGCTGGCGTTCTTGTTGTGGGATATTGATGGGGCAGCTCGACTTGTGCTATTCCAATGCATCGGACAACGCGTCATCCATTCGCGATCAGCTCGTACTCCAGCCGCGCACAAACTTCGGTAGACATCGTGCTCTTCATCATTGTGGAGCTTCTGATCTACCCCAAGAGCGCCATGTATTTGCTGCGACAAGACGTTAGAGATGCTCTTTAACGATGCGTTGCTGTACTCGGAGCCGGACCACACCGCCATCTTCATGCAGATGAAATAGACCTTCCGCTTGGCACACAAGGACTGTAGCGGCAAGATCGACGCGGACGAAGTGGCTGACATGCTGGAGAACATCTTCGGTCAGACTAGCGCGGTCACGCAACGCAAGATCCACAAACACGTCGAGGAATTCATACGTGTGGTGGACAAGGATACCAGCAGGTTGGTGTCGTTCAAAGACTTCGTGGAGGCGCTGAAGAACGACCCACAGCTCGCGATGGTGGTGTACACGCGACATAAACCCATGACCTCGACTCTGGCAGCCAGACGGGAGCATGTGCTGGCAGCGTTCAATGAGAACGGGGGCGACTCGGAAGATGTGAGCGAGAGCGACGAGCCGAAGGTTGTCAACGTGGGCTCTGGCGACAAGATCCAGCCCAAACTTCCACGCAGGAACCGAAGGTCAGCAAATTTCGAGCTGCGATACCGTCACGTGAGAGTTATCGCAGCCCCTACCAAGCTTCGTCCGTTGAGAAGGGCAAGATAGTCTGGTCGGCTGCGTCATCGGCTCCTGCTATGTGTCGCGATCACGACGTTCTGAATGTGGAGGAATTCACCAGTAGCGACATCGCGGCGCAGATGAAGACTGCGGACGTGGAATGGCTGCTGGAAGAACATCGCTACGAGAAGGTATCGATGGAGGAGCTCTCACTACGAACATCGGAGCGGTGATCAGAGCCTGGTCCAGGCTGTCGAAGAGCGCCGGTTTGCGACGCTCGAAGACGCCGTGGCCAATGAACTGCAGGATCCAGGCTGTGGCGTGGATGGCCAAGGCCACGTGCAGACTGTGTACGTCCATGGCCTTGGCACCCTCGACAACGAAGTAGTTGGCAAGTACGAAACAGACGGATATGATGGCGACTTCCAATATGCCAGTACAACACAGCGATAAATGCTCATTCACGATAGTGACTCGTAAAGATCGAAACAACGAATTACGTATACATGTAAGAGTACATAGGCATCGACTGGGCTAACTGACGCGCATAATCCATCCGCCTCGCCATGAGAAACTCTGGTTCCACCACATCTGCCATCTCCTCGTATCGTTCAATCATCTCCTCTGCACGAGCATCAACCGGCTGGGGCAAGAAGTCATCAACCTTAATTGTCTTGAAAGATCCAGGCATGAATGACGGAGGAGGTGGGGCAGACTCCGTTCGTCTCAGTACAGCTGCCTCGATAAATCTGAACGCGTTCTTTGGATACTTCAACGTAACTTGGGTCAGAACGTGCTTGTCGCTGAACCAAGAGAAATGCCAGCGGTCGTTTAAATCCGTCAACGAACTCAGCGGATAGCAATTGAGAGGCACCTTCATGCTGCAGCTCACAAGTTGACCAATTGCTTGAGGAACATGGCCCGGTTGGACTTTCTTCTTGAGCTCGATCACCCAGCTGACCCCAGCCAGCTTAATCAGTGGGTTCTTCGCTGTTCGATTGATGAGCAATACATCAGCTGTGCCTTTGATAGCAAACCGAAGCCTTGGGTCCACGATGTTAAGAACTGATTTATCGCCCGCAATGTCATCCAATAAGAAGTCTCCTCGATCGATCAGCGTCTTCAAATGTTGCTTCAGGTACGCCGTGTACCCAGCCCTTTGACTCCACGATTTTTGGAATCCACGAATAACCGGCGATGGAAGTATCGACTGGCTCCTTGACATCAGGGATATTTTCGGTCAGGCGCATCTTCTTGACAATTTGCTCTTCCATCGCAGTATTCAGATCGGAGAACGAATACGCAGGCGCCTTCTCATCTCGTTCCCTGAGAGCCTTATTCATTGACATCTCCACTTGCTCTACTGTCAGTGGCGTTGTCACTGCAGACAGATCGTTTGAGATAGTACCATCTTGCTCCGGAACCACCACCAGCACGTGAATTTCATCGGTGGATGGCGATAGCATCCCCGCGAACACTTTCTTGAGGCCGGACTCTCCCTGCAGCTCATTTTCTTCTTGCGTTAGAGATTTGACGAGAGCAGTCTTCTCTCCCTTCTTCAGCTTCTCCACATCTTCAGTGAGGCTCGACAGCCATGCGTTGCCCCCCGCCTTCGCCAGCAAGAGCTGCAGCTCGTCGGCAGGAAACTGGAACATCTTCTTCGCCTTGATCGCTTCCTTCAAGTCATCCACGGTTTTGCCTTCGTCTACTTCCACGGAGAACGCGCTACCCGCCACACCAACAATACAACAGAATAGCTTCACCATCTCTACACGAGCCCATGGATTCTGGAATGAGGAAGAAGGGGGGGAGAGAGAAGTTCCTAAAAATATTGCACCCGTACCTAAGCGGGAAAAGAAGGTGATGTCACAGAAGAGGGATAATTTTGCAACGCTCCAGAGTCCCGTGATAATCCACCGATTTCGTTTACCCTGTCATAACAGCTTCGAATCGTATGAGTACTCATTTAAAAAGCGGTTTTTAAAAGAAGCTTCCTTTTCACAAATAATATTATGCACGTAGTCACCAAAGATGAAGGCAACATTCCTGGCTAAATTGTTTGATGATTCTGTATTGTAACCATATTTATTCAAGCCTGCTAGTCGTGATTGGTCCTCTGCTGTCGAAACCCGATAGGACATAATTCAGGCTTACTACAACACTAGCAGTATGGTCAGATTTTCCTTTCCTGCTGCTTTTTCCTACCTTTTCGCATGGCTACACTCCGCCTTTTAAATACATTTTCGTCCCAGCTTACAGACCGCGCCTATCTTTCTAACTCGGCCTAACTATGCCAAAATTACAAAAAAAACACCACACAAATAACTCACGCCCTGATTGGGCGATATTTGCGAACCTGCGACACTAACTGGACGATCAGACCTTCCCTCGCCCTCGCGATTGGACGTGAGGTACACATTTCTCCCGATCACAAAATGCACGATTGGATGCAAACTGCGTTGACGATTGATTATTTACATTTAGCTACTCTAACCTTTCGTATATACAGTAAATGGGGCACAACAACCCCCTCATTTTGTAAGGGCCTGTTCGCGTTGTGCCTGGAGATGGAGATGATTGTGGTGTCCTACGATCTCCACCTCCAGTTGTGTCGCTACGTATCCTTCTCCAGGTGCACTTTAAACCAATCAGGTGCCGATACCATGTGTGGACACGGCACTCACAACCTAGAATCGAGAAGTCACATCCTCATCTTCACGCTCTCCTGCAGAACAAAGAATGATGCAGTTAAGGTCTGAAGACGCCACTCAACCAGAGGACGACGCAGCTATCATACCGGTACACACTCGTACCAGCAGTGGTCAGAGCGCACCACGCCGCAGGAATCAAGGCAGGAACGAGACAAAGCACCCATTTGCGTGGACAGTAAATGCGGCTGAGGTGCTGCTGAGATTGAGATTCGATAGCCTGAAGGGGTTGTTTGATGGCACTAAGAACTCGAAGCAGTTGAGTGCTGCGTGGGATTACCTAGCTGCAGAGACTCACCGTATTGGTGGCCTCGAGGTTGATGCTACCCAGTGCAAGTCAAAGGTACTGTGTATGAGTCTAGCGCTACATTATACGTACAGCAGTTATAAGCAGTACAGCCGCTTGTCCTACTGCAGCACACACAGCTAGCAAAACGTTTTAAATGTCCTCCTCCATAACAAATTGTGAGCCTCTCGTCTCTACCTCCGTCTCCTGTCTCCACCTCCAATAGGTGGAGAAGGATATCACCTCTAATCTCCAGTTGTGCAGTTGTAACAAATGGTTTTTGGCCAATCAATTGTTAGACGTATTTAGTGAGATGGGACCATCTCCATCTCCAGGCACAACGCGAACACACCCTAAGAGCTCTGTTTTTTTTTCTCACACACCTTTCAAAGTATAGACGATATGTGAATATATAGCTGTAAGCTGAGTATATTTATAGGTAGGCTAAGCTTGAGGTAAATATACAAACTATTAGTCACCTATAGAAAAGCAATGTCATCCGCCAATGGTTGGCCTCGGACAACCTTGGTACTTTGTACCAAACATCCCGAAGTATGACGTGTCACACTTCATGTAACTAGGGGTACACTTAGGGCTACGTACTTCGTTACCACTTAGGCTCGGTTTACCGACCAATCAGAATGAAGAAGTGTACGTCAAAAAAATTTATTCATTCTCAAAGTCGAAAAACATCGACTTGGCTGCGCGAGCGCGGCTGAGGCTCACTTCACAGTTAAAGCCTCGAGCAGCAGTCTGTGCGCTCCTCTTCTTGATCTTCACTTCGACGGTTTGTCATGACTCGTGGCACTGCGAAGAGCGGTGCGAAGACACGCTCCTAAGGCTGCTGCCGGAAAGGCGCAAGTCAAGAGCACTAAGCCTCACTGCAAAGGCTCGGCACTTCAGAAGGCTACTCAGGTAGCCTCCGAGGCGATCGGTTCATCGGGTGACACGGCTGTGGGCAAGCGAGCAAGCAAGCGCCGCAGCCCGTCGCCCTTGGCCTTCCCAGACAATCGTCCGAACCCTCGGTTCGCTGAGCGTCAGTTCGACTATGGCAGTGAGGACGAAGCCGTGTCCGAGAGCACGCACGATGCTCCTGCAATCTCTGCGGGAGGGCACAGCCCAGTGCCCAGCGAGCACAAAGACGACAGCGTGTAGTCGCTCGCTAGTGATCAAGGTGATCACAGTCCCAGGACGCTTGTACACTCTGAGAGTCCGGGCGTCAAGGCTAAGGGCACTCCCAAAGCTGGTGGCGATGAGGAGGGTAAGCCTGGCAACCGTCTCTCGCTTGACGAGGAACTTGCTCGTGCTAAGGCCGCGAAAGCCGAAGGCGCCAAGCCCTCTAAGAAGCGTATGGCTTCGAAGTCTCCACTCCGCGAGGAGAAGGAGACTCGGTACCCTCATCGATGCCTCTTCGACTTTTCGGGTGGAGAAGACGAGAAGGAGGAGAAATAGGACGAGGAGGAGGGTGCTATTTCGGAGCCCCGGAGGTTCACTAATGACCTCGACCAGAAGCAGGAGGACTTCCAAGCTGCCCAGCTTTCGCGTGGCGGCTCGGTGGTGGCACCCGTCAGCCAGGGAGATGCTATCAACTCAAGAGGGTATTGGCCTCCCAAGGAGAGCTCTGGGGCTGACCTCTTCCTGGAGCTTCTCGTCGCTCCTCGTGGCCTTGTGGGCGGCCACACCTCTAGGGGCATTTACGAACGTACTCTTGCCCAGAAGGAACAGTTGTTTGTTGACAACTTGGAGGCGGCTCGGTGCGTGCTTCTCGCGCCACACTGCATCCCTTATAAGGCCTTCACTGCGTGTCGTAAGAAGCCCAAGAATTGGGGTGGTCTCTATCCTCTTTGGGGGTACATCTGGGTTCTGCCCGGGAAATGCCCCACCTGGCGTTCTCGTGAGGACATGTACTGGGCTTGGGTGGAGTCTCTCAAGTACTCACCCACGGAGTTACGGGAACTCCATGAAGATCAACTGCTGTCCCGCATCCTGGACCAGCGTGATCTTCGTGCTCAATTTTCCAGCAAGCGCATGCTGCCAAGGGGCATCCTGAAGCGTGCGGCTTCTAGCGCTCACGATGAGCGCGGGTACGGAGTGTCTTCAACGTCCGTACCCCGTTCGGGAAAGAAGCCCCGGACTACTTATGAAGCTGCCGCCGCTTCTGTTCCCAGATTGCGACACCCTTTGGGCGGTCAATCAGGAGTCGCTCAATCGGCACCCACGAGCTCTCGGTGTGGGCATAACCCCTCCACTTCACGAGGAGCTGTCGCTTACCGCGACGCCGTTGCTCCTGGAGGATCCGCTCCACGTGGAAGTGGACTTCTCCATTCCGGTCAAGCAGGGGAGGAGGTGCCCTCGTACGAGTACGAGTTCTTGGCGCCTCCCGAACGCCAGTCTCGTCCGAGTCCTTCTCCTGCGGGTCCGACACAGGGCCCTGAGGTTGACCGCCTCCGTCAACGTGT